TTTTAATGAATTTAATTTACCATCTAATCGAGTGGAATGAATCCATTAAATGTATATTGATCATAATTAAATAATTCATGATAATATTGTTCAAATGATTAAATAAATCAAATACATATTGAAAGATGAAAAGGTAATGAATCTGTCAAATATGATTAAATAAATTAAATACATATTGAAAAATAAAAAAGAAAGGTAATGAATGTGTCAAATATACATTCATCATAAGCTGACAAAATAATTAAAGATGGATATTATTGAAATAATTAAATACATATTGTAAAATGAATAATAAAATATTATTGAAATAATTGAATTATAGAAAGGATATAATTGTCCCAAAAAAATGATCATCACATCAACGAGAAGTAAGGCAATGAATGTGTCAAATGTATATTCATCAAAGGCAATTAATAGACAAAATAATTAATAATGAGTATTATTGAAATAATTAAATACATATTAAAAAACGAAAAAGAAAAGTATTATTAAAATATTGAATTATAGTAATGATTAAATCGTGAAAAAAAAAGAAAAAAAAAGTTGTTTCTCACTTGATGTGATATTTTGTATATTATAAATATAGATAATTATGAATTTAAGGTTTAGTTTTTATCCGAACATTGACGGTAAAAGAGCAGTGCTATACGTATAGGAAAAGCAGTGCAAGATTTTTTACATATAATAATTGACAATTTTTGATAGGACAAAGCCCAAAAAAAAAAAAAAAAAGGAAAAAAAAAAGTGACCCTACAGGTGCTGACCTATAGCGATATGGCACCAAGAATCATGTTACACGTGCAATTTAGTTCGACAATATTGAATGACAATTCTTACTTGACAATATCGCATTCATTTATTTTAAATCAATGACTTAAATTTTGACAACACCAATATTTGTCAACTATTACTGCAAGTTTGATTTTACAAATACAATAATTGATAGCATCAATTCCCCCCGTATTACAAGGGGAATTGCTCTAAGCTCTAAAAAATAATCATGTCTACTAGTTTTGGTCAATAATCACTTTTTCCTATTCTATTAGATACTCCGCGTGGAAAATAAAGCACAAAACTTTGATTATACGTGTCATATTATATTAATTCATCGTTGTAATCATTAACGTAGACTAGACATGTATGTTAATGCCTCATTGCACGACTTTTCAAGATATTGTCGTTATTTGTTTTGTTACGTGACATATTTAAGCCCCCGTTTGACCCCATTACTTGAAAATGAAAATAAGAGAATAATATTTTTAAAAAAAATAAGTGGTTAAAAAAGAAAAAAATATTTTCGATTTATGTGTAATATTATTTTATGAAAAATTTTATAGTTGAAAATAGAAAAAAAAAAAAAATGTAATGTAATTAAATTTAATGGGGATCAAACGGGGGCTAAATTTATAACTAACAATAAATAATAAATGAGTAGTTAGTACAAAACATTCTTACATTGCAATGTTATTGTGCAAAATATTCCTACATTTCATTTTTAGCATTTTCATCTTTCATTACGAAAAATGTATTTTTCACCAATTTTAACTTAAAATGACCAATATATTTTCCTATTTAAATAAAACAAAAAAAGAAAGAAGAATAAAGAATAAATTGCAATCTTACATCTAATTTTTTCAAAACATTACAAATAACCCCACAAAAAGTAACTTCACCTTCATGGACTTAGCCACCAACCTCTATCTCACCAACCATTTTCCAACCATCGCTTAAAACACCGGACCTCACACCACAAATAGCTGTCATCAACCCCCAAACACTTTCCCATAAACAAATTGAACAAACAACAAATTTACATGGCCAAAATCAACAAAAACGTAGCTTATCGTGCGCAACACACTGTCCTTTCCGTCAATTTTAGCGTCGACGTTGGTTTCCATAGTTGTAGATCACCCATTCCTGCTTCGCCATATCATGTTGCACCTATAATAACAATGGACTTCAATCACTGTCATTCTAATATACCCTAGAATTTCTGACCAGTTATTGTCTAATAAAAAATTGAAAGCTGTTGCATAGATTTTGATTTTGTGCATTTGTTGATGTTGTAAAACAATGAAAAGAGGCATCCAAATGAGTATAGTCGATTGTTGTGTTGGGAATGACATGGGTCTAGTCGAAATAGGTGGTGCCGTCAGTGTTTATATTCACAAGTTTGGTGTTTTGACTTTTAATTTCGATCAAATATGTTGGCATAAAGGTTGGATATTGGGTGGTATGTGTAGAGGGGAGTGAGGGCTTTCTGGTGATATGGGGTCTAGCGGTTTGGTGGTGGTTGGTTGGAGGCTTTTGGCTTCTAAAGTGGCAGTCCCATTCGGTGATGGAGGAGGTGGAGGGAGAAGAAAAGAGAGAAAGAGTGTTTTTTTTTTAATAATTTATTTTTGACTCATTTGCACTTTCTAAAAAATTTAGGAGTAAGATTGCAATTTGTTCTTTATTTTTTTTTTTGTTTTTTTCCTATTTAAATAGGAGGGTATATTCATTATTTTATATTAAAAATTGGTGAAAATGATATTTTCAACAACGAAATGTGAAAATGACAAAAAATAAAAGATAAGAATATTTTGCAGAATAACTTTGAAAGCTAAGGAGTTTGTTCTATTTTACACAACAATAAATTATACCTAACAAACAATAAACAATAAATTATGACTTATTTTACTAAATTAAATCGATTAGATTCACGTAATAATTAAGCTAAATTCTAGGTAATTTAAAGCCTAAAGCCGACTTACCATTTGTAGTTGGACAATTCTAATTTTTTTACCGACTATATTACTAACCAATTTATAGTAAGAATAATGTTGGTTGAACAAGTTTAATGGCAGCCAATTTTTTGACAGAGTAACTCGGCAGTTTTTGTTTAACCCTTTTTAACTGTCAGTGAATTATTGACAAGTGTATTTGTCTAGAAAAATCTGTCATTGAGTCTGATTCTGTAGCTTTAAACCTTCAAAGATTCCAACTATTACACTAAGGGCCTGTTTGATTTGACAGATTTTTTATGGAGCCACCTTTTGGCATGTTTGATGGCAATAATTTTCCAACTGGTGGGAATTGGTTTTCCATGCCCCCCTTTTAATTTTTTTTTTGGGCAATTGGAACAAATTCTATTATCGATTGTAACAAATTATGTCACTTTAATTGATATTTTTATGAAAAATAAAGCCAAACGAGCATCAAAAGATAGAAAATTTGAACATTTTCCACTTGAAAAATTATATCAATCAAACACATTTAATTGACAATTCTCAGGAAAACAAGTTTTAGACAATTCAATTTCTTAAAATTCGTTTTCTTTTCACAAAAATTTCATTCTTATAATCAAATGGACACTAATTACTCTCTATTTCATAGTCAAACTTTTAATTTTTTTAACTTACCCTCGTTTGGCCTATATTATTATTTTTTTTTTGGAAAATGGGTAATTGAAAAAGAAGGAAAATTTTTCGATTTATGTGTAATATTATTTTATGAAAGATTTACTGTTAAAATAGAAGGGAGAAAAATATAATTTAATTTAATGATTGCCGGACGGAAAATTATTATACTAGGTATTTACATTTGGGATAGACTTGGTGTACATTATGGACACCATAATGGTGTCTATAATGCACTCATGACGCCACCCTAATGTAGGGACGCGCCCGGTACAATAGGGGGCGCCACACCAAGAATTTTCCTTTACATTTAGCACAAGAGACTTTAGGAACGTGTGAAAGGCTTCAAGCACTACTGGTGGAAAACGCATCAAGACATAAAACAAAAAATTTGACGGATAGAACTCGTGAATTCGACCACGCAATTATCGTAATAATAGAGAGCCAGTTCCACTTGTCATTATGGATTTCTCTTGTTCTCTATCCAACTCATTAATTGGACACCTAACACAGGGACAAAAGTCCAGCATTGAAATTTCTATCTTCTTTTTGAGTGTTTCTGCCTGTCCTGCGGACTTACCATTTTTTATTTTTTTCTGACTTAACATGTTCATAAACCTTCCTTCTACACTAATCCAATCGGTGCTTTTTTTCCCCCTAAATGTAATCCTGCTTTATACGTTTAATGTTGAACAGACTCGGTCAAATCAACACGGTTAAATAATTAAGACAGTAGAAGCTTCCTAATGAACTTAGACTTTTGATTTTATCGCTTAGAAAAAAGTAGCTTTTAAATTATATAGTAGAAGTTTGGTGGGGATTAAAATTAAATTTTTTAGTAGATTGCGATAGAAATTTTTGAAATGTATGGTTAAAAAATTGTGAGACCCATGAAAGATATGGTTAATATTAATTGTTTGATTTTTACTCGAATTTTAATCAAAACCAAACATGGGCGTAAATTTTGTTAAAAAAATAAAAATACAAACTTAAAGAATAAGTCTCTACTTTATTTTAAGCTTAATCTAACGTCAAAATAATAAATTAAGCAAATTTCTAGAAAACAGAAACATTTTCTATTTTTAATTAACAAATTATTGAAAATGAAAAGAAAGAAGCCCCACGGCTCGCACTAGTTGTTTGTTTCTATATATATATAAAAACGTGCCAACAGCGACCATTTTTTTCATTTTTCTTTTTCTGAGACATGGGATATGGAATCGCTAAATGCTAGTTACCGTCCAGAATGTAACTATGACAGTCGGTACCAATGAGAGTCTCCCAACTGCAGTTTTATTTGGCCTTTTCAAAAAAAATAATAATTCACAACTCTCATCGACGCATTCTATAAGATTCCATATATGCTTATAACATTAAAAAAAACTTTATCAAAGGTACCCTATCAGAATTAATTATCATCCATTATTGTGTAATTTGTTTATTTAATATTATTGTCCAGAAAGAATCAACACTAATTGCTATATATATTCATATCCCTCACTTTCAGTCACATTATTAAAGTAAGAATATCGTAATTTAGAGCCAAATAAAACCTCTACCAGTTGTCATAACTCAAAGCCTTTGAAAATGAATTTCCAAGTTGAAAAATCAAAGAACATAAAGATATTGCTTGAATTCCTTATTTGGTACACAAATTTGGAATTTATTGGTTAGAGACGTGCTACACTAACTAATCGTCTTCATGTTTAGCGTGGTCAAAACCAGCTCTCATATATATAGTTATATATATGTTGTATGCATATCCTAAAGACAGATAAAAAGCTTGGGAGGGTTCACATGCTCATATCTTTGTTTCAAGAAGTGAGTGAAATATGAAGGTTTCTCTTTTACATTTAATAGGTTTTCTTCTTTTAGGAGGGGTGCTGCCTATTCAAGCTGCTCTCATCCGTCGCCATAGGTTTGTGGTAAGCTTAATTTTTGCCATGAAGATTACGAAATAAGTTACAAGTTCATGTGCATTGATATTTATTATTTTTTAAGGCATATCTTGTGGGATTCATAATTGGTGTCACTGTTGTGGTCATTATTAATAAGGACCAGCCATTATCAATAGGAATAATGATTTTTGCTTTCTTTTTTTCTTTTTTTTTTGTTTTTGTTTTTTCCAAAGATATTTTGAAGTAATTAATTTCATTTTTGCTTGATACTTGAACTCCACCTCTTGTTAAATCTCCCTTCAACAAAAGCTACCATCTCTTTTACTTGAAGCAACAAGAGCAAGGAGAAATTTCGACTACATTCTCACATAAATCCTTTGATGCTCAAGTCAGAGAATAAAATCCTCTTAGCTATACCAATTTACTTGTAGCTTTGTCCAATTTTCTTGAAAACAATAAATTCTAGCAGTTAATAGTCACCATAAACTCTGAAGGACTCCTTGGGTTTTGCAGTTGACAGATACTCCATACACAAGGCTTTGCACCAACAAGAGCATTTTAGTGGTAAATGGACAATTTCCAGGTCCAACTTTATATGCCAATGAAGGAGATACATTAGTTGTTGATGTGCAAAACCGAGCAAGAGAAAATGTAACCATTCACTGGTAGGAATCTCATATGTTCACTCGTGCCTCGACCGGTGCACGTTTAGCACACAATATTGGATAATACTTAATTGTAAGATTTTTGCTTGTTAACTGAAATCAATTTTGTAGGCATGGAGTCAAGCAACCTCGATATCCATGGTCAGATGGTCCAGAGTATATTACTCAATGTCCCATACAACCCGGGTCAAATTTTAGCCAGAAGATTTTGCTTTCGGACGAGATAGGAACTTTGTGGTGGCACGCCCATAGCGATTGGTCACGCGCCACTGTGCACGGCGCAATTGTTATTTATCCCAGGAAGAAAAATAATTATCCTTTTCCTAAGCCTGATAAAGAAGTGCCCATCATACTAGGTACTGTAAATTAACATGTTATTTGATTGCTAAAAAAAAAAAGAAAAAAAGAAATAATTGACAAGGAAATTGAATGTTTGGAGCTGGTGGTGTGATACAGGAGAATGGTGGAATAGTGATATACAGGCAGTTCTGACCGAGTTTCTTGGTAATGGAGGGGATCCAAATGTTTCTGATGCTTTCCTCATAAATGGACAACCTGGAGATCTCTATCCATGCTCAAGATCAGGTTGGTTTCTCTAAAAAAAAGAAATAATTGACAAGGAAATTGAATGTTTGGAGCTGGTGGTGTGATACAGGAGAATGGTGGAATAGTGATATACAGGCAGTTCTGACCGAGTTTCTTGGTAATGGAGGGGATCCAAATGTTTCTGATGCTTTCCTCATAAATGGACAACCTGGAGATCTCTATCCATGCTCAAGATCAGGTTGGTTTCTCTAGTGTTTTTAATTAAATGTTAAATTGTTTGAAAAGAAAGCCTTATTAGTATTGAGTAAATCTGGAAATAATAATAGATAAATAAGTAACTTAAAAGTATGGTTAATCACAATCAAATATATAAGCATGTTCAGCTTTAAGCTTAAAAGAAAGTAGAAGTTGTTTTAAATAATTTTTTTTCTTAATATCTTTGAATAACTTATATTTTTTCATAGATTCTAACATAAAAAAAGTTACCTAATTTGACAGTTACCCTTCCTTTATTATTAAAATAAGTAATTTATGAATTTCCAAATTTTATAAATAAAAAATTGTTTATTGTAAAACTAACGTGTTTAATTTTGAGCAATCTTTTCAAGCTTAGCCAAACATATCCCAATAATTCTTATCTTTTTACTTTTCTTGAACAAATATCTTTTACAGCAAGAACAAGTCATCAGCTTTACCGTAGATTAAATGATAATAGAATTATACAGATGCACATGGTGCAAATTTAAGTCCACAAAAGTACAAAACGTTATTCATGCTAGGTAATGAATTGTAATATATTTGGAGTCATGAAAGGTCATGATTAAGTCCAAGTGGAAGAATACTATATGTTCAATTTATTTAAGAATATTGAGTTCATTAAATTGGACTTAATATAGTTTTCTATTTATATTAGTGTTCTAAAATCATATTAGGCCCCGTTTTGGAATTAAAATAAAAATTTTTGTAGATTTTGATAAAAGTTAATAAAATATGTGATTGAAAAGTTGTGGACTCCATAAAATATATGATTAAAATTAATTGTTGACTTTAACTTAGATTAAAATCTAAATTTTAATATCTACTAAATAGGGGCTAGATAGCATTATTATAATTGTGAAGTTTCAAAATGATTTCCCTGCAACCTCGATGTAAATAGTGTTATTGTATAACTTTCTTTTCTTTATTTTTTAGAAGAGATTTCCTCTATTGTTTTTTTTTTCTTTTCCCTTTTTGATTTCCTCCATTAGTTGCGTTGCTTGGAAATGAAGGATATTCTAATGATATAGTATTAAACTTTGAACTAATATATAACTGTAATCGTTTTGTGAATGCAGATACTTTTAGGCTGACAGTGGAATATGGGAAAACTTACTTGATTCGAATGGTTAATGCCGTCATGAACAACATTATGTTCTTTTCTATTGCAAACCACAGTGTCACCATCGTTGGATCAGATGCTAGCTACACAAAGCAAATTAGTAGTGATTATATTGCCATCTCTCCAGGACAAACCATTGATTTCTTGTTGAAAGCTAACCAAACACCTAGTCACTACTACATGGCTGCCCACGTTTATGCTAGTGCTGGAAACTACGACAACACAACCACAACAGCTATTATTGAGTACAGAGGGAATTATACCCCTCCATCCTCGCCATTGCTTCCAAGTCTTCCCATCTTCAATGATACAAGTGCTTCAGTTAATTTCACAAGAAGACTCAGAAGTTTAGGAAATAAAGATTATCCAGTCGACGTTCCTAAAAATGTAACAAATGCATATTTGTTTACACTTTCCATCAATTTAACCCCATGTCCTAATAATTCATGTGAAGGGCCATTCAACGAGCGCTTTCGAGCAAGTGTGAATAATATAACCTTCGTGCAGCCTACTATTGCAATTCTTCAGGCTTACTATCGGCGCATCAGAAATGTCTTTGGTGTTAACTTTCCTAGTGATCCACCATTCGTTTTCAATTTTACTGCAGACATTGTCCCTAGAGCCCTATGGAGGCCTCAAAATGGCACAAGAGTAAGAGTTCTTGAATATAATTCTACCGTGGAGATTGTTTTCCAGGGAACAAACACAGTTGCAGGAATAGACCATCCTATGCACTTACACGGACAGAGCTTTTATGTAGTTGGATGGGGTTTTGGAAACTTTGATAACAACACTGATCCAGCGAATTATAATCTTGTCGACCCTCCACTAATGAACACTATTGCAGTTCCTGTAAACGGTTGGACAACAGTCAGATTCCAAGCAAGTAATCCTGGTATGTGACATTTTCTCCTCGAATTCTTTGTATACTCGATATATCTTTTTCCTATCTTTTGATCATCATTTTCGAGAGCTTATCTTAAAACTCTCATTCAATATGTAGGAGTTTGGTTGATGCATTGCCATTTAGAGCGCCATATAAGTTGGGGAATGGAGATGGTATTCATTACCAAAAATGGCAAGGGAAAAGATGCTAGAATGTTGCCTCCACCTCCAGATATGCCCCCATGTTGATGCTGTGGCACATTGCAACTTTCCTATTCTATCGATGATATATATACATCAAGTTTAGCCGATGTGGCTGTACTATATGTTGAAGATGTAAAACATCGTATGAAGAGATTACTTGTAATTTGCTTCGAATTGTATACGACTTGTAAGGATGAATTATTAGTTTAATTATTACCTTTAGAAAAATAAATTTGTGTCGCTCAAAATTTTGAGAAATTTATTTCGGTGAATTTAATGTGTGGACTTTTTTCAAGCCTGTGAATAAATGTTAAGATCCAAAATTAGGACTTTTTGGATTTCTAAATCCTGGCATGTTAATTTTAATAAGAATTTGGCATTCTAGAATATTCCATAATAACATATGGGCAGTTAACAAAGACAAGAAAAGCTAATGCTAAAGGCACCCATTAATTTTTCAGCACCCGTTAATTTAAGAAAGGAAGTTGTTCCTTTCTTGAAATGAGCTAAAGAATAGAAGAAAGCCAAGAATGGAATAAGAAAACTGGTTGCATAAAAATGTTTACAAAGTAAGCTATTTATAGCCATAGGATATAGCCATAGGACCTAAATTAAATTAGCAAGAAATTTGCCAATAACCCAATCGAATAGTATTATCCCAAAAATCAGGTAAAAAATAGCTAGCATCCTAGAGACTAGGTAAAATATTTACTCAAGCAAAGACCATGTCTTCTCGCTCACAAAAAAAGTTAATAATAAAATTCTAACAATCCCACCCTTAACTTAGTGTGGAAAAACATGAGTTTAATGAAGACTAGCTACTATGTCATTCTCTCAGATCAGTCTTTCCATAGACACCAAGTATGTAATGCCTCGAATGTTTATAGAATTTAATTATTTGGGGATAGAGATTTTGACCTAGATGCCTTTTAATAATTTTGAAAGTTGAGGGATTAAAGTGGAATAGTTAATTTTAATATTAGTTTGGCCAAATAATCAGATTTCGATAAAGGAAAAATAAGTGTATCGATATTGGACTCTTTTTGTAGCTTGTAGTTAATTAAAATTCTTTGACTCAAAAAAAGGTTAATTCAAATAAGTTAAGCATAAAATATTGGCATTTAAAGAAATTGTCATTTATTAGTATTTTATTTAAATTGGAGGGTTATCTTTGATAGATCCAATCACTCTTTTCTTTAATTGGTAAATGGATAAAGTTACAACATTGTCAAATACCTTGAAATTATTTACCATTGGAATGGGATTGATATGTGGTCATTCTCATCCCTAGTTACACGTGATGACCTTACAAGTTGGCCAAGTGTTCAATTTTTAATGGAATGATTGTACAAGAAAAAAACTAATAGTAGAATATACTTCTAACTCTATCATTTGAAACCATTCTTATCCAATTGGTGGTGGTACATGGCTTTTGTATTACTGTTTCACTAAAACTCAATCTGTAAATATTTATTTTTACTATAAATACCCCACGAATTCAAGAGAAATTTTCACCATAGAATATTTATTCATAGATACTGTCAGAGAGAGTCAAGACAGAGGGAAAATAAATGTAGGAAAAGGGTTTTTATGTGCATTAGTTACAATCTTTCATTAAACGAGGTATGATACTTTTGTAAAAGTGGTTTGTTTCTTTATACTTTTATGTATTCAATTAAATATACATGAATCGTTAGTGGACCTTTGAGTCATGAAATCTTTTGAAAATTTAATAGGATCTAAGATGGGTGTGTCGTTTGGTTATCGATATATTTCATAAGAGAAGAGTGGTATGAAGTGTTTATTTATTGTTATATAATTGTTTATATAAACTACAAGTATCCTATTGATTATTTTTAAATATGCACTTTTACAATAATCTTACAGGTTAGTATGGGTCGATTGGATCTGTGACAGGACGGTGATATGGGTTGCCAAGTGGATAGAAGAAAGAGAAAAACAAAATGCACATTATGGGTTATTATTATTATTATTTTTTTTTTTGTGGCTATCTTTAAATTTATTAGTTGGTTTAAAGTTTAAAGTTTAAAGTCATGTTATTTAATTGGTTAGTTGAACATGTTTATTTTTTTTAAATATACAATTTCCATATTTAGTTTAAAGTTTATGAAGATTTCAGTTATTTTATTCTTAAAGAAATTCATTCTTATCTTTTCGCCTTTGATACAAAGAAAAGTAAAATTTTATAACACTCCAGAGTTTAAAAAAATTGGGGTGTTATAAAGTAGCTTTCTAAGTTTTTTCAAATGCAACAAATTTTAGGAGCTTCATGATTATGTCCACAACTTGATCTTCACTCTTGTAGAGAATAAGATCAATGGAATCATTGTTGATTAGTTCTCCTAGAAAATGATATTTCACATCTTCTTCCATAAAAAAATAGGACTTTTCGAGAGTTTAATTGTAGAATTTCTATTGCAATAAATCTCAATAGGTCCATGTTGCTTGCAATGAAGTTTTTCAAGAATCTTGCTCAACCAAACAGCTTGAAAAGCACGAGCATTTTAGCTACAAACTCAGCTTTTGTAGTTGATAAAGTGACAATTGCCTGTTTCTTAGATGATCATAAGACAGCCACTGAACCTAACATGAAAACATAGCTCGAAGTATTTACCGATCGTCTGAGTCCCCATCATAATAATTATCAGTGAAGCCAATCAAATCAGATTTTTCTTCTTTTCTGTAGTACATCACAAAATCAACAATGCTTTACAAATATCGAAGAATTCTCTTTGCAACTAGAATATGCATCTCTTTCAGGCATTCCATATACCTGCTAATAAGACTGACTTTATACATTATGTCAAGTCTTGTTGCAGTACATCAAGCTTTCTAAAATTTGCTTGAATAGAGTGTTGACAACTTTATTTTCTCCTGAGTTTGACAACTAAATTTCAAATTTGTATCGCTTGGTGACTAATATAATTGCAATTCTTCATTTCAAACTTATCTAAATTTCTTATGCATACTTATTCTGAGAAATAAAAATACCATCACTAGATTGTACAAATTCCATGCCAAGAAAATAATGCATCAATATCTAACATTTGATATATCAAATTCAGGCATCATAGACTCCTTTAATTTTTTCAAACATGTCACTATCATTTTCAGTATAAATAAGATCATCCATGTATAAGCATACAATGAACATTTTGCATCCAACTTCAATTTCTGTAAATAATGTATGCTCGTAAGGACATTTTTGAAACCCCTCCTTCACAAAATAAGTATCTATACGATTATATCAAGTCCGTGAAGCTTATTTTTAATTCATTTAATGTTTTCTTTAATTTATGCACTTTTTGCTCATTCCTAAACATCACATAACTAGGAGGTTTGTTAATAGATATCTGTTTTTTTTTTTTTTTTTAACTCACCATGTAAAATGTTTATTTCACATCCAATTGAAATATAGGCCATGCATTTTGTGCTGCCAATGCAATCGCTAATATGGTCATGTCATGCCTTGCAATAGGAGCAAATACTTCTTTGTGGTCGATGCCAAATTTTTGCTTATAGCTTTTAGCCACTAAGCGTGCCTTATATTTATCAATTGTGTCATTTTCCTTTTTGTCTTATAAATCCGCTTGAAACCAGTTATCTTTTGTTCCTTTGGAAGACTAGTCAACTCCCATGTATTATTTTTTTTCAATAGCTACAGTTTCATCATCTGTCACTTTGGATCTTTGATAACATCTTCAAAAACTACATGATCACAATTTGAAAATAGAGCAAAATGTGTAAATGTATCCTCAAATTCATAAATTCCAGTTATCTCATAATCTGACATCTATGCAAGTCTCTCTCTCTCTCTCTCTCTCTCTCTCTCTCTCTCTTTTTGGTGGATGTTTGAGTTCGTTCGCTATGTACATTAGCTGTAGGTGTGATTTGCGAATCAATTGGAACAACTTCTGAAGTTGATTGTTCCTTATTCGCTGACGATTGCCTTTCCTCTGTTGGAAAAAATATTTTTGCATAAACTATATTCAAATAACATACTTTTTATGTGTATAAAGTTGGATAGAATTTTGACTTATCAAAATTGAATACATAAAGTAGAAAAAAAAATGCATGAATGTGAATTCGGTCGAGTAAAGAGTTCAACTCTTTTTTCTTAAGACGATAATGCCCCGCACGGGTGCTAATTATTTTTCAACATTCGTCTTCCAAGATACAACAACTATGTCTCACAATAGGAGCACTTCAAATTATGTAAACTAATAAACCTACTTTTTTTTTTTAACACTCTTTATGAAACTTGACTCCAAATAAATTCAGAATTTTGAAGTGAATATGTATTAGTATGATAATGCAATTATGAAGTGAATGAATGAATAAACACATGAGGTCTATATAGATGTTGAAAATGTTTGTCTTAAAAGACAATTTATGGAAGAGACACAACTATTGGAATTAGTCATCTATTTGAAGAGACACGTGTTTTAGGAAATAACAATGTCAAAAGTCTCAATATTTCATATAGGAAGATACATTTTTAGCCAAATAATTTCTAAAATATTTCATAATATTCTACATAATTTTTCAATAATTCATGTATTTAAATAATTTAAATTTGACTTAACTTTCCATTCACCAAATAACAACTTTCACTTAAATAATTAAGAATTTGTCAAAACTAATTTCATATATAAAATTCCAACATTCTCTTCATTGTTTTTGTCAGTATCTACTAGAATTTATTGTTCAATAGTATTATACCTTCATGAGCATGTGCTTCTTTCATCAAAGACAACAACATGACAGACAATCTCTCTTGGTGGGTGGATTATATAATTTATAAGCTTTTGACTAATCACTTACTTTAAGAAAAATGCATTTTTCTCATTTATTATTATTATTATTATTATTATTATTATTATTATTATTATTATTATTATTTGATCCTGGACATGGGCATATCCAATGCACCTAAACACCCAAAAATGATTAACTGGTTTTTGCCCACTCCGTACTTGTTTAGGAGATATATTTCGAATAGCCAGTATGGGACTTTTATTCAGAATATAAATGCTCTAATTTATTGCTTCAAGCCAGAAACTCAGGAAAATGTCACTCATTTGCAGATGGTATTGCATTATATTGAGAAGAGTGCGATTATTCCTCTCACTTACCCCATTCCGTTGAGGCTAATAGACTGTAGTCAATTGCCTTCAATTTCATGATTATCACAAAAATTTGAAAATTTTCGTGGGTTAAACTCTCTACCTTGATCAATACGCAATACCTTGATTGAGCTGCCAGATTCTTTTT